GAGCACTGACAATATCAAAGCATTAGTAGCTTTCTAGTAAGACTACAAGTTTAGTAACGTGGAATACAAGAAAAGACCATGAAAAATATTGCTGTCTGGAAACATTACAAGGAATAGCTGATATGCACAATGAAATAGTTGCCATTCAGTAACAAGGTAAAAAGTTCACAGTGCAGCGTAGAACAGACTAGTTACATTGTGTAGTGGTCATTTATATTGTCTAGCATTGGGCTAATAAGTGAAACATGAAAATCAACACTGTTTTAAAACTCATAATGAACTGTAAAATATTGGGAAAGTTTAAAACCTTACATTTTCCAGCAGTTCAGTAAATTATGGCTAGTTGAGCTAGTCTGCCCAAGGGAGTTTGCAAATAGGGCAGTGTGGTGCCAGACCCACTCAATGAACTGCCATAATTCTCTCCATACCAGGAAAGCAGGTCCCATTGTGCCCCATGTGGTTGACTCTTTCCCCCTTGTAATCAAATCAAATCTGGTTCCTTGACCTTTGTCTCCTGTGCACATTCCTGTTCTTGTGATAAGGTATAATTGGCACTTGTCACTGAAATTTTATGGGTAAACTCCTGTCCACCTTACCCTTGTAAAAAACAAAACAAAAAGGGTGGGGGGGGAGCGTAAATTGGAGTTCTGCAAAAGTAAGGTGAACAGGATATATCACTACATGACCAGTCTGTGATTGTGCAGTCATATGCAGGCAAGACTCCCATTTGAAATGAACGGTAGTCTTAGTTGTGGGAGAACTTTCAGCCCCGGGGCCCTCAATCATTAGTCTAATTTTTCAGCTGTATGGTTCAAAATGAATAGGGCACAGTTAGATGGAGAGGCACTAATTTTGTCTGTCTTCCACACACAAAAATTGTATTCCAGGAACTGACCTGCACTTGAGGCACATTCCTTATTCCTTGTTCTGTGAGTAGAGTTGGGCAAATAGCTGATTTTTTTCAGTTCACTGGAATTTCCAAAACATGAAAATAAAACTGGGTCAGGTTATGCTGCAAATGAAAATTTTCAGATTTTTTTTGTGAATAGAAAAAGTTGTTTAAATAAACAAACATTTTGTTCAAACCAAAACTGAAACGTTAGTTCCCAGGCCATTGTAACCATTTTTTTTTCCCCACAAAAGCAAGTGGCTAGATTCACAAAGCCATGGGGGGAAGAGAAGTGTGCTTACCTTATGCCCTCTAGCCCTCTGGTTAGGGCATTCCCCTGGGATGTGAGGGACCCAGCTGCAAGTTCCTTGATCCAATTACTATTTATTTATATAAATTGGAATAGCTTCAACAGGGAGACCCACTCCAGAATAGCCATTAGCCCAGTGGTTGTCTGTCCTCCTGGTCACCCGGAGGGAATTGTGGGAAGGCACTGGAAGACTATCAGCATTCAAGTCATTTAGAGTGCATCCACACTACAAAGTGGGGGGGTTACCAGCCCAAGTGACAGCAGCACGCAGGATCTAACCCACACCCTCAGCCAGGCCAGCTAGCCTGGGTTGAAAGCACCACTGGACAGGAGTGGGGAGCAGTTAGGGGCAACTCGACAGACCCTTAGTGTGGGGCTTCTCCAGGGTGTGTGCCCACGAAGTGCTGAGCCTATGGGTTACTGTAACACCAACAGACCCTGGGCATCGGCAGGCAGGAGCAAACCGGAGACCTCTGGAACTTAGTGCATGAGCCTCTATCACATGAGCTAAAAGCCAACTGGCTGTTAGCTAAGGCTGTAGAGCAGACTCATTAATTGCTCTCTAAGTGGTCTCGGTGCCACTAGATGGGACAGAACACCACACCCAGAAGGTGTGTGGCTTACATTACGACTTAATAAATAATCATAATTGTATAGTTAGCGAACTTGCCTTGGATCCTGTTTCTTTTGCAGATGCGCTTACATAGCTTGTATTTTACTTTGGAAATAGATTTTATATCACTATGCCAGTTCCACCTAGAGATATGATTTATGACCTTCCATTCTCTTCTGTTCGTCTTTTAGCTTGAACTGGTTAAATCCTTTTATTCCCCCTCCCCGCCCGCCATCCCAGGGTCTCTAGCCATTCTTCAAGTTGTCTTTATCTATCAGTCCTTTTTAAGTTAAAATGAGTCATCTCAGAGGATAGCCTGAACCAACTGATTGGTTCAGCACGCCAAGTAAAGTGGATTGTTTCATATGGCTTCACTTAGAAGGAAGGAGAGAAGGAAGGAATTTTGCAACACAAGTCCACTGTCCAGCAATCGGCATAAGGAAACTGCAGTGCAGTTTTCGCAATCTGTTCCAGCATAAAGACCAGTTTACCTTCTCATTCTTTGGGGAAAAGTTCATGGTTCATGGGCAGAAGTCAGGGTAGAAGGAGTCTGTGATGCTTGCTCAGCTGATATCCATTGGCTATTCAAGTTATACAACAGAGGTTTTGAGACCACAGCTCTGCAAAACTGAGCAGTTTGGGGTCACAACATTTTGTGTGAACCTTCTTGGGTTTGGAGTCAATCAAACCCAAAGACTCAAAGCAAAACACAACTAAAGGCCAGCTATGGGTTGAAACCATGCAGAACCGACAATCCATCCATGGTTTCCAAATGAAGCCAAGACCCTGCCTAGGTTCACTTCAAATTTGGACTAGGTGCTGTGAAACGTTTCTGAAAACCTGGGCAATGTTTTCTGTTTACTACGGAAAGTTCCTTTTAGATCAGTGTCAGAGACAGATTCTTTCAGGGTACAGAAAAAGGTCTAAAGTTCTCCACTGTCTTGTACCTCCCACACCCTTTTTGAATGAGAGTATTTGGGTATAAGTTCAGCAAAATTTCCGCCCAGAATATGTTAGAAAATTTTGAAATTTGTCATCTTTTGGAGTAAAAACTATGGAACCACATACTGCAGTGAATTAAAACTATGACCATCTAGCAAAAGCTGGGTTGTTGGGTTTTTTTCTTTTTTCTTTTTTTGGCTAGCAAACCTCTGGAACCTAAAACAAAAAGCTTTGCAGATCACAGGAATGATGGGTAGAAATTAAAAATCCTTTATTTGCAAATGGAATTGTATTTCTTGATACTAAACAACACTGAAGAGTAATATCCTCCTTTCAGTTTGCCTCTGAAATGTACGTTTGTGTCAATGGGAGGCTTGCAAATAAAATAATTGGAGACTATGCCTAAAAGTGTGTTAGCACTAAGAAGGGCTAGGGACTCCAGAGCTTGGCTAGGGACTCCATTACTTATTAAGAAAAGGAATCGTTCATGCAAATTGTGAGTTCTTTGTAAAAGGGCAGGAATATTTAATGACTCTGTTCCCCATCAAACAATAGTAGGCAGGGCTGGAAATAGAACAGCTGCATAATTGGGAAACACTGGGGTTTTCATGATGAAAATGAGCAGTGCTGTTTCTTGCTTTTTATTTTTCATTATCGTCTGTGTCAGATGGTGAGAACCAGACCAGAACCAGCCAGCTAAGGGTAGACCACCAACCTCAATCACGTGTTTTCTTTTGGCCTCATCATGCAATTCACATGTCTCCAAGATCATGGGAATTGTAAGCTCGGAAAAATGGTTGCCTTATTCCAACAGGGCGATTGAAAATATTATATAATGAGAATGCGACAGGTTGGACACCCCACCTCTCCGTCCGAGTTGCCACCTGATGTGCTGGGGTTAAACTGAGCCTCTCCTGCTCAACCAGCCTGGGTTCCGTCTCCCTGCTTTGTGGAATTAGGCTCTCTGGCCTCTTGTAGCACACACACAGGCAGGGTCACACCCTGCTGCAGACACAGACTGAAGTCAGCTCTCTGTGAGAGGGCTCCCCCAGCACTCACGTGCACATCCCTTTTGGGAGACAAACCCAAAATAATACAGTCTTGCACTGTATAGAATTATCTGTACAGTGCAAGCTCATAAAATTCACCCTCTTCCTCAGTGTGAAGACTTCTTGCCCCCCTCCCCAGTTAGAAATTGCATAAACTGGGTTTAATAATAAACAAAACCAATTTTATTAACTATTAAAGGCAGGGTTTAAGTGGTTCCAGGGATAGCAAACAGAACAAAGCAGATTTCCTTAGTAAATAAACAAAACCCACTAACTGAGCTTGACACCAGATAGGTTGAATAGAAATTAGCAGATTCTCACCCTGAGTAATAAACAGACTGGCAGATTCTCAAGACACAAGTGGCCTTGGCTTTCCCAGGTTTTCATACAGAGGCTAAAAATCCTTCCAGCCTGGGACCATCACTTCCCACAATTCAGTCTTTGTTCTTCAGGTGTTTTCAGGTGTATTGTTGTAGGGAAAGTGAGGATTCCTCTTTTATATCTCTTTCCCCCCACCACCACCACCACTTGGTGGAAAGCATTTTTGCTGTGACCTAGGTCAAAGTTCCCATTGTGTAGAGTGATCTCTGAGAGGTTTCTGTTGCACACAGTTCCTGGGGTCATCCTTATGCATGTGTGCATTTCTTCAGTAAGCCACTAACATTGTTTGACCTCATCTAAAGTAGCACATTTGGAATACAGAGACATGGTTAATATTCCCCGCTTCAGATACAAAAATGATACATGCATGCAAATTGGATAAACACATTCAGTAAATTATAACCTTTCCAATGATATCTTACAAGACCCATCTTGCATAAAGTATATCTGTTGTACCATGTTCATATCATAACCATATTTCTATGAAGAATATGGGGTGTAACATCACAGAGCACTCCCCTCCAAATGGAGTGGTAAGGGGAAGAGCATTCCCTTCATGTGCTTTAGCAATGGATCAGCAAAGAGAGGCATTTTCTCCAAAACAGTTTTTTGCTATAGTGGACATACTAAAATGTATCTTAAGCACCTACTGTTTTTCAGATGATTCATAGGGGAGGATGGCGCAGATGTGAGGAAGCTTTTGAATGTGAAAGGAATGGCTTGTTGCATATTCTCTCCTGGTCCTGTTGCCTGTGAGGTTTATTTCCTGACAGTGATTTCCATGTAATAAATAGCTCTTTTCTCTCATTTCCACAGGCCCTCCAGGAAGGCGGGGAAAACCGGGACGACGAGGAGAACCTGGTAAGCCTCATGTTTCCTCCTGTGGAGTGTGGTGCACCCAGGTGATGATTGGAATAGTACTTAAAAGTACTTGAACTGCTTGATAAAGATACTAGCCATCTTTATCTAATTGACTTGTGAAATGAAGAAGTCCCATCTCCCATGAACAATAGGTTATCTATTGATTTAAACCCTTCAGCTCTACTGGTACCTAGCCACGGTGACTTAAAGGGCCACTATCACATTGATTATGCAGGTGTGTGTCTGTCCGTGTGTAATTTATTAGTCTGCAGTTTTTTCCTTTAGCCATGTGTGCCCCATTCTTTTTCAAAAAGAAAAGGAGTACTTGTGGCACCTTAGAGACTAACCAATTTATTATAGTCTCTAAGGTGCCACAAGTACTCCTTTTCTTTTTGCGAATACAGACTAACACGGCTGTTATTCTGAAACCATTCTTTTTCAAAGAAAGACAGTACAGGGAGAAGGGAGGTGGGCATGTGAACAGTCATAGCAGGTAGTAATACAGAGAGAAATATAAAAGGCACATATACAGTGTCTCGGGAACCATACACCAGCTTATTATTTTAGGATTACTTATACATTATACACCTGGTGTGGTCTATTAAAATGTTCACAGACTGGGAGTCAGGAATGAGTGAATTCTAAGCCTAACTTGTGTTGGTCTTGGGCACAAATTCTTGAGATTCACGTTCACCCATAGCCTTTACCTCAGCTAGCTAACTCATATAAAAACTATAAACTTCCTCATCCTTCGCAAGGATTTCCCCTTTTGTTAGTCACCATGTTTTAGCTAACTCGAGATAAGAACACACCTGTCTCCTTGTGAAGACTGTTTTTCTGCCTTTCTTGTGAAATGGGGCTAATGATGCTTCTATATCAGCTTCAAAAGGGTATTTGCTTTATGCTTTGAAGCTAGAAGGTACAACGGAAGTAGAGTGGAACGAAGTTGGATTTGGGAGGTAAAAACATATCTAAAGAACTACATGGAGTTTGTGAACAGTTATACAAATTAAAACATGGTGGATGAAATTTTTGGCCTCCCAACTTTGACAGTGCCCTTTTAATTTGGTCTAAGCAAACGTGGCACTGTAAATATGTATTTTTAATTAGCAACAGGGTTTCTGTTCCTTGGATATAGTTTCATTTCAAGGGCAAGCCAAAAATATTCTCAGGTGGTGCAACATCTGGGGCTGTAAGCCCAAGCTGGTCATATCCCAAACTGATATAAACACTCAGCTATGAACTTCTAGAACACACATGATGGAATTAAGGGTAAGTAAATTTCGTATCAATAAAAGTGTAGCATGGTGTCAGCCTGTGGAACTCAGTGCTGCAGGAGAACATATAATCATATACTTTCACTGAATTTTCAGAAAGGGCTGAATAATTTTTTGACCATCAGTATTTGCAGTTAAGAGGAGGTGGAGCGAGGTAAATCATGGACTTCAGGCCACAGAACTGATTGCCATAGAGGTCAGGAAATAATTTCCTTCGCTTCCTCACTAGAGGACATCACATATTGGGCCAGGTAAACATCAGAGATTGTTGCAACCAGCAAAAGGATATTGGACTTCATGGGACAGCGATCCAATCTGCTACAATGAATCCTGTTCTGCTTGACTAAGTCCAGCTGTCGAGGTGGAGTATCCTGTCATGTGGTTTTGATTTCTTAATGTTGCACTCTGCTCCATAAAGTTATTGGTTGGCTATAAGATTCAACCAAGTGCTAACTGCAACATTCAAACAGTGAATAGTGTTTAAATACTTCAGTTTATTGAATTTTCTCTTACGACATTGTCCATCTATTCAGTCGTCAAACATTTTAAATCAGGGGTGGGCAAACGTTTTGGCCCGAGGGCCACATTGGGGTTGCGAAACTGTATGGAGGGCTGGGTAGGGAAGGCTGTGCCTCCCCAAACAGCCTGGCCCCCCACTCCCTCCCACTTCCCTATCCCTGACTGCCCCCCTCAGAGCCTTCGACCCATCCAACCTCCCCTGCTCCTTGTCCCCTTACTGCCCCCTCCCAGGGCCCCCCATCCGACCCCTCCTGCTCCCTGTCCCCTGGCTGCTCCGACCTATCCACCTCCCCACCCCCTAACAGGTCCCCTGGGACTCCCACGCCTATTCAACTCTCCCGTTCCACGTCCCCTGACTGATCCCGGAACCTCCGCCCCATCTAACTGCCTCCTGTCCCCTGACTTCCCCCCGGGACCTCCTGCCCCTTACCCAACCTCCCCACCCCCTTACCATGCCACTCAGAGCAGCAGGACTGGAAGCTGCACTGCCCAGCCTGCGCAGCGGCATGGCTGTGGGGAGGGGGGGGACAGTGGGGGAAGGGCTGGGGGGCTAGCCTCCCTGGCCGGGAGCTCAAGGGCCGGGCAGGACAGTCCCGCGGGCCAGATGTGGCCCCCGGGCCATAGTTTGCCCACTTCTGTTTTAAAGACATCATTGAGGTTCAAGATGGTGACCTCTGAAAATTTGTACTCAAACTATATTTTAATATTTCACGTGAACAGCCTGAAAATATGATTATTGTGATGCTAGTAGCAATCGTATTAAAATAGCATCTAGGGTCCGAATGTGAGATTGGGACCTTGTTGTGCTAGGCACTGTACAGATACAGTAAGAGACTAATCCTGCCCCAAAAAGCTGCTTACATTTTACATATACAGCACCAAGAGTGAGAGAAAGAAAGTGCTATTATCTCTAATTTACAGATGGGGAACAAAGGCCCAGAGAGACTAAGTGACTTGCCGCCGGTGATACAGGGAGTCTGTAGCAGAGCAGGGACTTGAACTGAGGTCTCCTGAGTTCCAGTTCAGTGCGTTAACCATAAGAATATCCTTCCTCTTAAGGAACAGAAAATTGCCCTGGGATCAGACGACAACCAGCAGAGAAATTATGAAGAATTAATGAGACTCAAGTATGTCTCTTTAGATTTTTCTGTAATTGGGGAGGGAAACCAAGGAGAAACTGTAGTTATTTTTGGCAGGGAGGCTCATAGGGCACACACTTGTGGTTAAACTATGCCTTACACTGAGATGGAACAAGAGCACACAATGCAGTACACTAGATACAGCAAAGTAGTTAAACACAGCCTATGTAATGAAGCCCATGAGAATTGTCATGCTGTATTACAGATATAAAGAAAGGCAAAGAGCAGACTTCCCTCTGCATATTGGTTTTGGCATAGCTGCCAAAAGTTTGTTTTCATAGATAGCTTGAACATATATTTATATATTTGTTTCATAATCTTACCACACATAAACCAGGTCCTTGTTCTTTCACCACAGCTGATAAATGGGAATAAAAATTTGTTTGCCTAGCATGATAGTATCCCTCCCTGGAGACTCTATGTGGTTACAACTTCACAGCCTCCAGACCAATAATGTCTTAGTGCCAGAAGGCTCAGCACTGGTTCAGGCTTGCCCTGGGGGAGGTCTTTCTCTGGCAGCTGTTAAAATTACAATGTTAAAGCTTTCTAATACATATGAGGCATTCAATAAATTTGTTCTAAAATCAAGCAGCTTTCCACAGTGATGTTGGAGAGATCAGCCTGGTTTCTCCAACCACACCCACTTCTTGATTTAAAACACGACTGAACCATTTCTTTTCTGTTTAGATTTGGACAGTATAAGAATTAACCAGACAGCTATAAGTGTATAAGAATTTACAAAGAGTTCATCACTCTTGAAGCACACTGAAGACGACTGATGATGGGCATTGTTTATGGGTGGATAAAATACTATTTCAAAATTAATTTAAAATTTCCTTAGTAAAACTAAAGTACTTAAAGGACATGTCTGAACTGTGGCGCCATTGGGCCAAACGCAAACCAAAGTTAGGTGGTAAAACTGCTGATACTCTGGCCATGCTAGCACTTCCACTGTTGCCACTCACGGTGACATTGCACTCGGGCTAGACCAGCCCTGGCTAACAGCGCTAGTGCAGCCAAACATAAATGGGCTCTCTCTGCTAATCTGCTCCGAATTCAGCAATTCTTACCAAACAATATAGGTGCTCAGTACTACGTTCCAAAGGGATTATCACCTTTCCCTCCTCCTCTGCTCTTACTGACTGGGGACAAAAAGATAAATTGTTTCTACCCCATGAAGGGAGGAATAGGAGGGGAATTCCTGGCTCCTGGTCTTGCTGCAGCTGCTTTTTGAGATAATAAAGAGGGGATGGTCTTGCTGCAGCTGCTCACTTCTGGAAGTGATATGGTCTTCCAGAGCTGTCCCCTCCCCACATACATAGATAGGCCTGTCTGCCGGCCAGTACTGTACTATCCGTGGGATACTGTACTTAGGCTATCCGTGGGATGAGTGCTGTAAATTTTCAGTGCAGAGGCAGCCTTTAGTGGAAAGAAACTTCCCCATAAACCCAGCCAAAACCCTGCACTGGGGCAGTTTGAAACGCTCTCCCTGTGAGTTCCACTGCATGTTCCTGCTCTTGTCCTTTGGCCTGGTCAGGACGTAAGTGTGTTAGGAGCCAGGACTGTACACTTCAAAAGTAAATGCAGAGGCACATTTGTACATGGCCTGAGTGTTGTGAAAATCTCTACGGAACAAGTAAAACAAATGTGAATTTGGGGGTTTCTTGAGTCTCCCAAACCCTTCTTGTCCATTACAGCTACAGCCCAGGTTTCTTCTAATGGTCTTCACCGACCTTCATGTTTAAACAGGAACAATGCATAGATTTGGAAAGCATTTTTGTCAGTGTCAGTACAGTTAAACAGTCCACAGATTTATTGAGTCGTTGACTCTATCTGACCCGTTTTATTTACTCCTGCAGTCATCTGGCTCTTATTTAATTGTTTCCATGTCTCTGACAGAGGAGCAGCTGGTGCCATGGATTTCACGTATGTCTCTAAGCTATATGCAAAGAAGGAATCACCTTTGTAAAGGGCATTCAGGTTACAGCTTCCTGGAAGAGGCTGCTTTTTAAAAAAAGTCAGTGTAAAAAATCAGTGTAATGTTGCAACTATGGGACCAAGATACCTTAAACAACT